AAATATGACACAGGAAATCCCGAAATCTATCAAACAATTGTTTTGTTTAATGATGTAGTTGTTGAGAAATGTGTGTTTGTTGTGTGTTCTCTTACTTGTGTTATCATTTGCCCTTGCAATCCTTTCATTGACATCCAGGTTTTCTGGGTGGGGAAAAGAGCGAACGTAGTTTCACAAAACACAGAATTAGCACAAGTAGGCTTGTAGTGCCTATGTTGACTTCGAGGAGTAGAATGGTTTCGTGAATGACTTTACTTGCCTATGTCATCGCCACTCAGAGTTACTGTCTGAAACACAAAGTGGTTTTTGATAGGACATAGTTATTTTTTTAACGAGTTAAAATAACTTTAATGTCATTCACACATATTTATCTAGTGTGTGTAGTCTTACTGGAGGAAGAAGCATCAGCAAAAGTTGGGCTATCAAGGGAAATGTTGGACTCATGGTTGAAATGACGATTGCTCTCTGATTGTCATTTGTTGTTAATCTTCAAATCTGGGAGGATAGAGCAAGAGTAAGTTTATAATGAATCGAGTGAATGTACCTGTCGTAGCAGGGCCTTGATCCTTGAATGCAGATGCTCAGCTCATCATGTTTATATTGGTTTCAAAGAGGGAGTGTCTGAGTTCTCAAGGAATACCGGTACATCACTGTCAGACAAACTATTTTAATTTGGCAGCTGTATAGCAAGGGGATTTTCCAGTTTTATTTTTTTAGTACAACCAAGTCAGCATAAGATAAGATAAGAAAACCTTTATTTGTCTCACAATGGCGAAATTCGCAATTTACAGCAGCAAAATTTGGAGGGAAGAAAGTAGAAAAACATGAAGTATTTGCATGCACAAAATACATTTAAAAAATGAACTGTAAACAGTACAGAATGCAATATAAAATATCAAATATCAAATACAAGCATATATGCAACTGCATATATGCTGCATAAGGTGGCTGTGCTATTTAAAATGGTTGATTGGGGGTGAGTCCAGGTTTTCAGGTGTGTCTATTCAGTAGCCTGACAGCAGTCGGCAGGAACGTGCGGCGGTACCTCTCTTTCTTGCAGTGTGGGTGAATCAGTCTCTGGCTGAAGGAGCTGCCCAGTGCTGTCAGGGTGGTCTGGAGTGGTCGGGAGGGTCTGTCCTTCATAGCTGTTAGCTGAGCTAAACATGAACATAAGAGGTGATTCTTTGGATAATTTTACAGTTTTAATGCTCTGCTAACTTGTCGAAAGCTAATCACTTTCAGCTTTAAACTGCTTGGCTATTTTCTCACGTAGTTGTTCACAAAGAGTTGAACCCGACCCCATCTTTGCTTGTGAATGACTGAGCAGCTCAGGGAAGCTCCTTTTTGACCCAATCATGGCACCCACACCGGTTCCCAGTTAGCCTGCTCACCTGTGGGATGTTCCACACGTGTTTGATGGGCATTCCTCAACTTTCTCAGTCTTTTTTTGCCAACAGTTCCATCTGTTTTGAAACACGATGCAGCCATAAAATCCAAAGTTAAAGATTATTTGCTAAACACTATCAAGTTTATCAGTTTGAACACGAAGTGCCTTGCCTTTGTCGTGCATTCAATTAAATATAGGTTGAACGTGATCTGCAAATCATTGCGTTCCGCTTCCATTTATATTTTACACAGTGTCCCAATTTCATTAGAATTGTTTTTTTACTTTTTGTCTCCCTACCACCAATTGCTACATACCCTCATGCGTAAATATGACACATTGCTTTTATCCAAACATTTTAATTATCCAGTCCGGTGTCACGAGTGAATACCATCAACCATTCATATTTGGTCAATTTGCAGTCTTCATATTTGACTAAAACCTTTTGGAAGGTCAAAAACAGCTTAAATCTAGTCTTCGCAAACCAAGACAGTTTCACTGTTAGTTCTCCACCAATTAGCCAAAATTGTGCACTGTGTGGAAAAGGAATAGTGAGAGACCACATGCGAATGTAGTCAATATGCATGTGCTGTTCGGTGTGGACATAAATGAGTTGTAAATAATGCAAACAGACAAAGAGTGATGAAAGCATGTCTTCCAACGTAATGCGTGAAAATGATTCCAACAATGTTTAAAGCACATTTATCCTTGATATATTACGACTGATATATTATTTGGTGCATTTTGTTGTGATCCTGGTAGCTAACACATTAATATATCTTTTATTATATTCACGCTTGTTACCAAACTTGCAGTATAGTTTTTTTTTGTTTTAAGCCAAAATTTGGAAGATAATGAATGAAATAGATCCTTTTTTGTGTGTGCTATATTATTTTTTTTTTTTCAAAGTCACTCTTTTCTAATTTTTGACTACCATTTGAAAATGGACAGAATGAATAATAGATTAATTCAGCAGTAGTAAAAAGTCACACACTATGATGTAATTATCCTCATGAGCAATTACTGTGAGAAACTTTAGAGGCTGTCAGTTATAGTGTTGAACACTGACTGATTGAAATTTGAACTTGACTTCCTGGGACAGCATTTACGGGCAAGCTGTTCTCTATGCAACAGGAATGTGGTGTGGCTTCATATTGTTCGGCGCACTTTTTTCTTTATATGCTCAGCACTACACCGTTTCTGGTATGTACCAGTGGGGGCTACGAAATTGTTTACTGTTCAGTGTTTACCAAAAACAAAACAAGACATAGTAATATTTAAAATGGTTACTTTTTCAGTTTCAAATTTAGCATCGCTGAGTCAAAGAAGTCCTAACTGCTGTGCAGTTAGCTTCTCTTTGTTGTTTGATGTCACATATGCGCAGTAGTGTACCATGAGTGATTGACAGGCAGCAGCTAACATGCACAGCAGCTGATGACGCATTTCCGGTGGAAAATGCGGAGACAAACGTTCTCCCAGCTTCCGTTAATTCCAAGCTACCCTGACGTCGCCTGCAGGAAAAATAACCAAAATCTTTATAATTGCCTTCACGTGGGTTTGTGCAATAGATTTATTCTGTAGCTCCTGCTGGTGCTTTTCAAGATGAAAATGCCCTCTGGAGGTATGACGTTTTAAAGACAAAGGAAATCCTTCCTCCAGCTAACTCTGTGGTGTGTGTATGTTCAGTTTTCTGGATGAAAACATTTACTAGTGAGCCGGTACTATCAAGGAGACATGTATACATTCGGGGAGACAATTTAATTATTGCAACATCAAATCGACAAAGAGTGTATGTTTGTCTTTCTTTCTCGTTCAACTCCCCAGTGAGTCCCAATATTACTGCATCAAAGAAGATTTTTGAACAGAATGACATTTCTATAATTTTGTGGTTATAAAAATAGTATTTTTCTGTCTTAACGTTTACTCTTGATGTCATTTGGTCTTGGTCTTGGACTCAGACCTCCTGGCCCGACACCCACGTTTCCTCCTCTTCAACTTACGGGGAATGTCTGGTTTATCGCCGGCCAGTAGCCCGCTGTTAGCCTGCCAAGGTAAAAGCTGGTCCCTACTGTAAAGAATGGGGTCGCATGTGTGAGCGGGGTCTTCAGCCACAGTAAATGTAAAAAAGCACAAGAAAATCATGGAGATGAGCAGAAATGAAGATGCCCTTCTACCCTTTTCTCCTTGAACTTCACTTCCATTCTATTTCACACCATTCCCTTGGTTTCTTTTGACTCCTGTCACATCACGCGGCGCGGGCACCCGCAGCGGCTCCTCTCTCTCTCCTGTAGTTGCATTTTGTCGAAACTTGAAACATGAAACATCTTTCCCCCTTGCTGTGTAACACTCTCTCACATTTTTTTTTTCAGGTTGGATCATGATATTTACCCAAAGAACACCTTGTCAGCCTGTTTTCTTCCATGGAGGAGACACAGGGTGGCCACACAATAACTCTACGAAAAGTACGACAGTGAAACTCCTCTACAACGAAATCATGTTTGCAGCAAGAAATTTTTCACAACAGGGGACTTCACGATTGCAAATGTACGGTATCTCAGATGTAAACACACACACACACACACACACACACACACACACACACACACACACACGTATGTGTACTCTTTATTTTTATTCCAATAGTGCATAAGTATAAGCATACACTTATTTGACACTTCATATAGCCAGCGTAGAAAGAAAAAAGGGAAGGAAATTGTGAAATTTACAATCAGCATTCACTTTCACTGACATCAATTTCTTGCATAATGTCTTTTACTTTGCTTCCTCCATCTTTCGTTTTTATTAGTTTTATCCTGTCTTCAAGCGTTGAAGGTTTTCTTTTCTTCACTCCTTGGTCTGCAAAGGTCCGTTTTTGTAGCCATTTTAGCAATGCAACGTTCGTGCTGCATCTGAAACTAACAATAACAAATATTTCCTGTACTACTGCGCATGTGTAAGCCACTGTGGTGTTTGCTGTTGGCGTTTCCGAGCTAAGCAGTAGGAGTCGCTGTAGGCTGAGGTTGGATTAGACTTTCGCGGAAGCCTTGTTTTCATTGTAGTGAATCTCATTGAGAGGTAAGGGCAGAGAAAAAGATTTCATATAACGCAACAGGGGGATTTTTCGTTGTAGGGGGAGCAGAAAAGTGGGAATGGTTTTAATGCGTGAAGATTATTTCACACTAGGGGGTATTTTCGCCCATGTCAGTTTCATTGTAGAGGAGTTTCACTGTAATGATGAAAAGGTTGCGCTGCTTCCCATTTGGTGAAAGAAACTGCAAGACGCAGGACAAAAATTCATTCCATCCATCACGAGTGTACTGAAGCCTATTCCAGCTGACTTTGTGGGACTGGTTGCCAGTCAATTACAAGCAAGACACAAGTATTTTACGGAGCCCCTAAGGCAGTGGTTCTCAAATAGTGGGGGGGGGGGCGCGAGGCTCCGTCAGGGTGGGTTCGTTTGACCTCGGGGAACATGATTTTTTATTTTTTTATTTAGATTTTAGTTTGACTGTAAAATCAATAAAGTGCAATTGCACCTCCATTACATTAGGGGGCAGTGGCGCTCTCATTGGCAGAGTGTGCGCAGAGAGTATTTTCTCGGTGGTGTTGGGGTTTTGTTTGCACTGAGCATGCACGCTTTGCACACAGCACAGAGTATGAGTATGAAGTGTAGACACGAAGTGTAGCAGACCCTCAAGTGACACCATGAAAAAATATTTAACAGGGATGAGAAGACAGGCGTCGAGAGACTGAGATAAAGAGACAAACGCAAGTCTCCCTAAAGCTCAGACGAGGAACTATGACGAAGCGTGTGTAGCGCTTGGCTTCACTGTGACTACGATGGGAGACGTGGAAAGACCGGTGTGCTTAATGTGTCTCAAAATGCTGGCAGCGGGCAGCATGAAGCCAGATAAATTAAGGCGTCAATTAAAGACATTACACCCCAATCATGCTGTTACGTTTTTTCAGAGAAAACGTGCCAAATATTGCCAACAATCATCCCGCTTTGTGACTGCTCCTTCAGCAAACTAAAATACAGGTCCCGGCTACACTAGCCCTGTTCACACGGCAAGATTTACTCCGACGCTGCACCGAAGTATTTTGATGCGATGTATTTTACACCGGAGCAAATTTTGTGGAGCGTTCACACGTGCAAAGCCGCTGAGCTGACAACTCCGGCGCAGCGTCGAAGCAGCTCCACTTGCGGTCACACGTGCAATTTCTGCTCCGGACCAAAACGACAGGAATGCGGAAGTAAAACAGGTTCGGGTCGGGCTTCTCTCTCGCGGACTTTTATTTATTTATTTATTTTTCTTTTAATAAATATTATGGTGGACACTATTCTGTCCTTGTTCAGAATAGATCCACTTGTCGGCAGTCGTGGAATAAAGACGTGTTTACAGTCAATCGTGTGTGCTCCTTATGACTGCCACAATATATGTTTTAAAAAATGTATACTCAAAAACAATGTGCGGATACTAAACTAAGGAATACTTGTTTTAAAACAAACAATTTGGATAAAACAGAGAATGCGCTGTAATTTAATTGCTATTTAACTGCTAAACAGGAGC